GAGGATCCTTCAGCTCTGCCATCTCCCACCCCTCCTCCCTCCTCCAGGCTGTAACTCTTCTCGATTGTTCACTCCATGCCAGCCCCTGGATGCCAGTTGTATAAAGATTAAAACTTTTTTTCATCTATTATTCATGTGAAAAGAATTATAAACCTGTTACAATGCAGTAGTACATAGCTGAGTTAGTTGAGTACCTAGGCTAACTTTGTTGGGGGTGTGTGTGTGTGTTCAGGCAAGAACAGAGGAGTGGGTTGCCATTTCCTACTCCAGAACATCTTCCCGGCCCAGGGATCAAACCCACAGCATCTCCTGAATCTTCTGCAGTGGCAGGTGGATTCTTTACCGTGCCATCTGGGAAGCCCCTAACTTCGCTGGCCTTATGAACAAACTGGACTTACATGGGTGTTCTTGATGAGGAACTCATTCATATGTAGGGGATTTATTGTACCTCTTCAGTCTTACCCTCTGGCTCCCCTGTTTTGAATATCTGGCACAGCCACAAGATCCCCAGACACCCCAAACATGCCTGCTTGTCTTTTATGCAACGTCCCCTCAGTCTGCAACTCCCCTCCAGCCTGCCTCCCAGGGCTCACCACATCCCTGTACCACATGCCAAGGGCCTGTCAACTCCCTACCGTTAAAAGATAAACTGAGGCCTATTAAACAGCACCAAACCAGCAGTGGTTAGGAGTGCTCCAACAATAGCAGGGTAGAGACTTTTATACGGAAAAGAGGGAAGCAAAACAAGGACTTTTTTTAAAAAAATTCATTTTATTTTATTTACTTATTTTTGGCTGCACTGGGTCTTCCTTGCTGCCTGCAGGCTTTTCCTAGTTGCAGTCCACAGGCTGCTCTTACTGCAGAGGCTGGGTCCTAGGCATGTGGGCTCAGTGTGATAGTTGTGGCTCAAGGGCTGCAGGCAGATTCCTAACCATGGGACCACACAGGAAGTCCAGCAAGGATGTCATTGATTGATTATAGCTTAAAGTCCAGTTCTGTCTGATTAGCTGTCCTTGGGTTTTGATTTTGTAACCTTGAAGCCTCTATAAGCTTAGATTTTGGCTTGCTTATGTAGGCAACCATGACATTAGAGCCACTTAGGTCTAATAGCCTCAGGGGTTAATTAATTTAGCATGACTCATCTTTTAAGACACAGCTCAAGTGTTGCTACCTCCTTGATGCCTTTCTTTATCCCAACCACCCATCCACAGGTGGCATTAATCTTCCTCCTTCGAGCTCCCACTGTGATGTGTACAGATTCCACCACAGTATGAGTAATATTTTATTGTCCTTTTTTTTTACAGGTCTATCCCCCCACCCATCAGATTACAAGCTCTTTAGAACAGGGACCACCTATTCATTTTGGACATTTCACAACTTTTCATAGTGCCTGGGACTTAGTAAATGCTATTTTAATTTTAAAACAGGTGTTAGTGCACAAATACTATGCTAATATGTTGCCATTGTAAACATTCTAAGCAATAAAGATCATGAGCAATAAAAATCATGAGAGTCCTCCTTGACCCCAGTTCAATCTCTCTGCTCTTCCCAGGATAATCAGTGTATTAGTGCATCCTTTCAGGCCTTTTTCTATGCCCTTACATATCTGCAAACATGGAGAAATACACAATTTTGAGAAGGTAAATAAAAATAAGATTATACTAGCAATTATTTTACAACTTTTTTCTTTTTCATTTAGAAACATATTCCAGGGCTTCCCTCGTGGTCCAGTGGTTAAGAATCTGCCTGCCAATGCAGGGGACACTAGTTCAATCCCTGGTCCAGGACGGTTCCATGTGCCACGGAGCAACTAACCACGGTACCGCACCACGGCTGTGGAGCCTTCACGCTAGAGCCCATGTTCTGCAACAAGAGCAGCCGCTGCAGTGAGGAGCCTGCTCCCCACGCAACCAGAGAGTAGACCCTGATCCCAGCAACTAGAGAAAGCCCACGCATAGCCAAAATAACTTAAAAATAAATAAATAAGTAAAAATATAGTCCAGACATCTTAACAACTTGGTATGTATTAATCTATCCATTCTATTTCTAAAGCTATTGCCAGTATTTCGCAATATAATTGTACCACACTTGATTTAGCTAGTCCTTTATTAGTGGACATTTATATGTTTTCCAATATTTACTACAATGAATATCCCAGGACTTACCTCTCAAAGTACATGATTGAGTATTTCTCTATGTCAGTAGCTCTCAGCCAAACTATATAGGGCTCACCTGGGGAACTTTTAAAAAATGAATATAGTTGCAAGCATCCTCAACAAAATATTAGCAGATCAAATCAAACAATGTATTAAAAAACTGGCTGAACATTCTAAAATCAACTAATATAATCATATCAATATAAGCAGGAAAAGCATTTGGCAAAATCTGATACCCATTCATGATAAAAAGTTTCAGAAAAGTAGGTATAGAGGGAAGCCTCTTCAACTTGACAAGGAATATCTGCCATATTGTAAATCAACCATTCTATTTTTTAAAATTTAATAAAAAAAGAATATCTACCAAAAATTTGGGCTTCTCAGTTGGCAAAGAATCTGCCTACCAGTGCAGGAGATGCAAGTTTGATCCCTGGGTTAGGAAGACCCCCTGGAGAAGGGAATGGCAACCTGATCCACTATTCTTGCCTGGAGAATTCCATGGATAGAGGAGGCTGACAGGCTACAGTTCATGGAGTCACAAAGTCAGACATGACTGAGCACACACACACACACCAAAAATCTATAGCTGATATCACACCTGATGGTGAGAAACCAGATGCTCTCACCACTCCTTTCAACATTGTCCTGGAAGTCCTGGAATCAACCAAAAAACTCCTAAAACTAATAAAATGACTATTGCAAGCATGCAGGACATAAAGTTAATTGCTTTCCTATATACCTGCTAATGAACAATTGGAATTTAAAATAAAAAACACAATACCAGTTACACCATTTACAAAATGGAAGTACTTAGTGATAAATCAAACAAAATTTCTATAAGGTCTATACAAGGAAAACTATGAAACACTGATGATAGAAGTAAAAGAACTAAATAAATGGACACATATTCCATGTTTATGAATAGGAAGACTCAAATATGTTACAATGTCAGTTCGTCCCAGCTTAATCTATAGGTTCAGTGGAATTGAAATCAGAATCTCAGCAAGTTATTTGTGGTTTGTTGTTCAGCGGCTCAGTCTTGTCTGACTCTTTTGTGACCCCATGGACTGCAGCCCCCCAGGCTCCTCTGTCCAAGGGATTCTCCAGGCAAGAATACTGGAGTGGGTAGTCACCCCCTTCTCCAGGAGATCTTCCCAATCCAGGGATCATACTCAGGACTCCTGCATTAGCAAGTGGATTCTTTACTACTGAGCCGCCAGGGAAGCCCTCAATGAACAATTCTAAAGTTATTACTAACAGGCTAAAGACTGAGAATATCTAACACAGCACTGAGGAAGAACAAAATAGGAGGACTGATACTACTTGATTTTAAGGCTGAGCTACAGTAATCAAGACAGTGTGGTATTGGTGAAAGAACAGACAAATAGATCAATGGAATGGAACAGAGAGTCCAGATAGAGACCACACAAATATAGTCAACTGCTATTGAATAAAGAGCAAAGCAAGTTCAGTGGGGGAAGGATAGTCTTTTGAGCAAATGATAGTGGACTAACTAGATATCCACATGCAAAGCAGTGATACATAGACTTTACATCTTTCACAAAAATTAACTCAAAATGGAACATAGACTTCTAAAACACAGAACTATAAAACTTCTAGAAGATAATAGAAGAGAAAATGTAAATGATCTTGCATTTGGCAATAGCTTTTTAGATACAACATCAAAAGCACAATCCATGAAAGAAAAATCTGGTAAGTTGGACTTCATTAAATTTTTTAAAATTTCTCTGCAAATGACACTACTGAGGGAATGAAAAGACAAGCAGAGACTGAGAGAAAATCTCAACAAAACGCATATCTGATAAAGGACTGTCAACAAAATACACAAAGAAAGCTTAAAACTTAACAATGAGAAAACAACTTAATTTTTAAATGGTCCGAAATTTTGAATGGACAGCTTGCCAGTGAAGACATACCTATGGCACATAAACATGAATAACTGCTCAATATTAGATGTTGTCAGTGGCTTGCAAATTAAAACAAGATACTCCTTCAGGCCTATTAGAATGGCTTAAATCCAAAGCAATGGCAACAGCAGATGCTTGTAAGAATGTGGGTACCACAGAAACTTTTGTTCATTGCTGATGGAAAGGCAAAATGGTAGAGCCATCTTGGAAGACAACTTGGCAGTTTCTTACAAAGCTAAACATAAGCACGCCATATGATCCAGAAATCATCAGGTAAATATTTATATTTACCAAAATGAGTTGAAAACTTGTGTCCACACAAGAACTACACATGAATATTTATAGCCGCTTTAAACTTGGAAGCAACCAAGATGTCCTTTAATAGGTGAACAGTGTGGCATATCCATATAATGGAATATAACACAGCCATAAAAAGAAATGTGTTATCAAGACTTGAAAATCCACGGAGGAACCTTAAGTGCTAAGTGACAGAAGAAACCAATCTGAAAAGTCGATACATCGTCTGATTCCAGTGTTATGGCATTGTCACCACCAGCGCCATCATCATCGTGTGTGCATCCCCCCGCCACATCCAAAAAGTACCTTCATACCAGAGGTCTGAAGTGACCCTTGCCACAAGGGTCTCACAGAGCAAGTGGGGCAGAGGTCCTGATCACAGGGTGCAGATGGGGAAGCTGTGCTTGGCAGCTTGCCCTGCCTGAGTCACACAGCTGGAAACAGCATCACATCTTTTCATCTGAAAGCTTATACCTTAGTTCCTCCAGTCCAGCCTCCTGGGCCTTGATGGACCTTGGAACACAGTGCTGGGGGCGGGGCAGGGGGGTGGGGTGTGTAACTATGGGACTTGATGTGTCACTGTGGAGAGGAGTGTGGAGGAGGCAGTTCTGACAAGTTCATTCAGTGGCCCTTTCTCTTTCTGGGCTCTGGACCAGCTCTTTCCTCCCTCAGTCCCTCCCCCTATCTTTCTCTGTTGCAGGCATTGACACTCACAGCACGCAGAGTGCTGGCAGCCAAGTGCTTATTATTTATTCATTGGAAGTACATCAGCTGGTCCCTCCTCCATCTGCCTGGAGGAAGCAGGTCAAGAGGTGCCAATTAATGCCCTATATATCCCAGGGGTGGATTCACTGGCCACAGAGATGCCCACTTGCAGAAAGCAGAAAGAGAACTTTCTTTTTTAGATAGAAGAGTGGCCCTGAAATATCCATAGATGAATGCAACAGAGATTTGCTGACGAGTGAGTACAGAGGGGTGGGAAATGGGAAAGAAGTGAGTGAATCTCTAGCTTCTGGTCACCATGACAATGATGACATCTTAAAAGAAGCATAACTGATCATTGTAGGCAGAAGGGGTTTTTGTTTGTTTGTCTTGTTTTAATTTCTTCCCTAATGCTGGAATAAATGAAGGGAAAGGTGAGTCTACACCTCATCTAGGCATAGAGTGTTGGGGACAAAAGTGGATCTGAGCCTGGAAGTCCCTTATTTAGTCACCCTGACTCAGAACATCCTTTAGCTTGTTGGTGGGAACCATAAGAACCCATGCTTCGAATGACTATGGTCAGGGGACAGGCAATGGCTTTTTTCAGAAGAACCGATGGGGCTTACCCTCCAGCAAGGAAGAGGGGTACTGTTCACAGTAATGAACAGTACAGCAGCTGTGAGAAACCTGTAGCAGGCTGAGTGATGACCCCCTAAGTATGTCCATGCCCCAATCCCTGGAATTTATTAATATGTTAGCTTGGCAAACAGTACTATGCAGGTGTAAGTTCAGAATCTTACAATTGGAGAGATTATCATTGTCCTGGTGACCCAATATAATTGTAGGATCATTTTAAGAGGAAGTAGAAGGGTATGTGTTAGAGAAGATGCATGCAGGTAGACCTGGGTTCGATCCCTGGGTCTGATCCTGGGATCAGGATGGAATGGCAACCCACTCCAGTATTCTTGCCTGGGAAATCCCATGGACAGAGGAGGCTGGCGGGCTAGAGTCCATGATGTTGCAAAGAGCTGGACACAACTGAGTGACTAACATTTTCACTTTCACAGGAGGATAAGATGTAACAATGGAAATGGAGGAAAATATAGAAATATGACAACAGAAGCAGGGACCACAAACCAAGGTATGCAAACAACTTCTAGAAACTGGAAAAGGCAAGAAAAACAGACTCTTTCCTAGAGTCTCCAGGAGGTGGCTCTTTCAACACCTTGATTTTAGACTTCCAACCTCCAGAACGATAAAAGGATAAATGTGTGATGATTTAAGCCACTAAGCTTGCGGTCATTTGCTACAGCAGAATTAGGGAAATCATGAAGGACTGATCAATAAGGGCAGCAACTATTGTCATAAAAGCAAAAGGGCCAGAAAGCAAGGGCCCATCAGTGAATGAACAGATTCTCCAAACCTCTGTGCGCCTGGCATCTGAAAACAGGGCAAGCCCCTGGGAGTGGGTAAGATATATTAGATCAGGGAAAGAAGGACTCCCAAGAGTAGAGAAAGGGGCTGGCCCTCAAGAGAAGCAGGCAGTGTTGAGAGGCACTGCAGCACAGGGCCCACCCTTCATTTCCACATAATCGCCGGGATTGGAGGGGGAGGAGGCGGGGAAGAGAAGCATGAACCTCAGGTTTTTGAGAGCATCAGCCATGGTCAGGAGTGTCAAGTATTATAACTTTCCTAGCTCATGCAAACAATTGGAGAAGGAAAACAGAACAGGTAAGGAAGTAACTGTGGTCAGTACTCATCAGCAAATTCAATCAATTATCTACTTTGTAAAGTCAGTCACATTCTTGATTTTAATGTGATTTGAAACTGTCTATGCACATATATGTATCTGCCTCGTATCTCTGGAATCTCTCTTTCTTCCACATGCACAGGTCTCTCCTGGTTCAGGCCATCACTATCTGCCATCTGGGTTACCATAACAATCTCTAACTGACCCTCCTGCCTCCTCTCTTTCTGCTTTCAAATCCAGCCTCTGCATGCTTTCTTCAACGCCAATCATACTGTATCACCTCCTGAATAAAGCCGTTACATGGCTTCCCACTGCCCTTAGGATAAAAGCCCAAATCCTTCACTTCTCAAGACTGAAAGCTAGTGGGCTCAGGTAGGACTTGCCAGCATGGTTCAGGGCACAGAGCCTGGTAGACACCTAATGGGTATCAATAGGGGGCTCCTCCATTGGTTCAGTGGCAAAGGTAAAGAACCCACCTGCAAGGCAGGAGCTGCAAGAGATGCAGGTTCAGTCGCTAGGTTGGGAGGATACCCCGGAGGAGGGCATGGCAACCCACTCCGGTATTCTTGCCTGGAGAATCCAATGGACAGAGAAGCCTGGCAAACTACAGTCCATAGGGTTGCAAAGAGTTGGACACGACTGAAGTGACTTAGCATGCACACACGTATCAATAGGGGGCCTTGTAAGAACTTCAGTGACTCATCTTTTTTACTTCCTTTTTCAGACTACTCCAGCCATACTGTGTCTCTCAATTCCTTGGGAGATCTATTTCTCCTCCAGGTCTTTGTATACACTCTTCCCCATTTCCTGGGTCTCCCAGCCCTCCTTCCTTATGTTGCAATGTCCTACTCATTCGTGGGGCTCATTCTTGGGGATTTAGTTTAAACATCCTCTATTCTCAGAGACCTGCCCTGCTCTCTAGGCTAAGTCCTCACAGTACAGATTCTTGTAGTATCCTGATCTTCCTCTCACATGACACTAATTATACTTTACATTTGATGATCATAGACTTTATGCTTAATGACAGGTCTTCTCAACCTCAGCACTGTTGACATTTTTAGCCTGATAATTCTTTATTGTGGGTGCTCCCTATGTATTGTAGGATGTTGATAGCAACCCCCTCCCAAATCATGATAATCAAAAATGTCTGCAGACATTGCCAAATATCCCTTGGGTGGGAGGCAAATTGTCCTATGTTGAGAGCCTCTGCTCTATGAAAGTAGGGTCTATGACTTTCTTGATGACTTAGGCACTTCTGATGTTTAGAAAAGTACCTGGGCCATAGCAGGCACTAATAGGTACCTTAAAAACAGGACTTCCTACTATTGGTGGGGCAAGTGGCTGGGTTGCTCATATCTGGATCTGCACTCACTCCCTGCATTGTCTGTTTCTGGATCACCCTTATCATCTAGATTCCATGCGGAGACATATCAGGACATGGCAGCGATGACTTCCTTGAGTCACGGTGGATCTGCTGCCATAGAAGTTTTAGGCTTGGGACACTCACAGAGTCGCTGTCTTTGCAATGCCGATGCTGTCAGCTGACCCGACTTCAACTGTTCTGGCTCTTGCTGTTCCTCTTTGCAACTGCGCAGAGTCACACATTAAAAGAGAATGTTGGAGATGGCTGTAACCATCCTAGTGCCTTCTCCCATGCCTGGATCAAAACAAGTGCTCCATAAATATTTATGGAATGAATAATGCTTATAAAACCACCCCTTACTAAATGCCTACAAGTATGCTCATCCAAAGTGTCTGCTGCAGCAGCAGTGGGAGAAGTTGCCACTGCCCCATTTTCCAAGAGCCTTTGTTCTTTCGTGGGCATCAAAACTGTTCTTAATGCAGTAGCTGGAGCCAAAAAATAAATAAATAAATAAAAAACACCACACATGTTCCTTTCAATACTTTGTCCCCTCTTTTCAATTTAACTGTTTTATCTTCACTGCATGAAGATTTCAAATGAGGCTTGAAAACTGGGAAGACCCATAAAAGCAGAATTGCTACTGTTTCATGTGGAGTAATAAGTTATTCAAGGTTTAAAACAGAAAGAATCTGACTGCCTCCCTGGTCTTAATGTTCCCTAGATATAACTATCTTTAAATAGGTTCACTGTAGCAAAATTTCATTTGAAAGAAACAAAGAGAAACATAAGATCAAGAATTCTTTTGAGAGGCTCACTGAGACAGTTGGATGGCTAGGAGTCTCTTATTCCTACAGGCAGCAAACCTCAGTTACATCATTGAAACTGTGAGACAGGAAGAAGCGCTCAGGTTTCAGGCCTTTTGTTGTTGTTGTTGTTGTGGCTGAAGATCATCAGAATTAAAAAAGAAAAATTATTCAGAATAAAATAAAAGTGCACCTGCCCCATCTGCCTGACTAATCACTCTATGATACAAGGGACACAGGGGTCCCTCTAAAAGTTCCAGCTTGGTTCCTGGAACACCACTCTCTTCCGGTTTTCCTTCTACTATTTTGGTTTTCCCTTCTCTGTCTCCACTGAAGGCTGACCTTCCTCATTCTATCCTCCCATGGAGCTCCTCAAGGCTTCAGCCTAAGTCCTCTCAGTACTGACTCCATGTGATCTCCCCCGACAACCTCAAACATATTTATAGGTTTAATTCCCACCTATGACCAGGATATTTACTTCTCTAGCCCAGGTATCTCCTCTGACTTCCAGATGCATTCATTCGGTTGCTTCCTTGATGTCTTAAGTGCCATTTCAGTGGCATTTCAAGCTCAGTTCAAAATGAACACGTGATCTTTACTTTTTTTGCACTGTCACTTGTGTTGGCCAATGGCCCTGCCAGCTGTCTGGCTGCACAAGCCAGATTCAACTGTCCTCTTTAACACAGTCCTCCTCCTCCAGCCCCATGTCTATCACCGAGTTTTCCTTCCATCTCCATCATTACTACTCAAGAACAAGTGACCACAACATTACCTTGATTATTACAACAGCCTTTCAACAGATTTATGTGGACCTTTCAGTTCTTCCAAGTAATTCCAGTCCACTGAATTGCAGATCTAATTAGCTCCCCACTCCCAACAACCTTAAAAAGTCAATGGCTTTTCCCAGGAGTCCCAAACTCTCCTGAAGATAAAGATCACCTGGAAAATCTTTGAAAACAGTTTTCAGGGGCCCAATACAGATCTATTGAGTTAGAATTTCCAGAAGAGATGTCTAGTAATTCTGGTTACTAAACAACAATTTCAGTGATTCTTATCTGTTGGGAAAAATTTTTAAGTCCCCACAGAAGCTGTAAAGTGTCTCCGTTTTACGAACACTCTCTCCTTCCCTTCTTTAGTACCACCTTTCACGTCTACCTGCAGGCCTTCAAAACTGGACACATTTATCCCTTCTTGGGGCTGGGGGTGGAAGGAGAAGTCAGCACCTGGGATACAACTGAACCAGACTTCTCTGGGTTTCTAGAACTCTCCAGAGAGCTTGTCCTTCTGCCCCCACTCTCGCGTACTCCTGTATGAAATACAGAGTTGACCAACGCAGAGATGACCTTCCCACCAACTAGGGCTGTATCTTTTCCCCTACTGCTCCCTCCTTAGCTCGACCACCCTTTCTTTTTGGCTCAGAGAGGTCAGTTCAGATGCCTCTCTCCTTGCCTTCCTGGTAAGGGGCCAGAGTGACTTTTAAGAGAGCTCTGTAGAGCTTTCTTCCCTTTGGGGTACTGGCTGGGTGAGGAAATACCTTAAGAGACCACCCCTCTGTTGGGATATGAAAGTGAAAGTGTTAGTAACTCTTTTCGATCCCATGAAATGTAGCCCACCGGGCTCCTCTGTCCATGGAATTTTCCAGGCAAGAATACTGTAGTGGGAAGCCATTCCCTTCTCCAGGGGATCTTCCAACCCAGGGATTGAATGTGGGTCTCCTGCATTGCAGGCAGATTCTTTACCGTCTGAGCCACCAGGCAGGTGGTTGGGATGGAGCCCAAGGAAATGGCTTCCCCCAGTGAAAAGAGGATGATAAGATGGGACTAGTCCTGGGGGCAGAAGGATTTATGCAAGAAGAAGACAACCTGTACTGCCTTTAAGATTTGGTGAGATTCTGGCATCTTTGTACCTTCCCTGTCTTCGGTCCTTCTAATGTCTAGCATAGTATATAATGTGGGAATAAGCCTGGGATTCAGACCACCTGGGTTTGACTCTCAGCTCAGCCGCTTACTAGCAGGCACAAGTTACTTAACTCTTCTACACCTCCATTTCCTTATCTGTAAAATGGGGATATTGATGCATATACCACAAAGTTGTGAAGAGTAACTATGTTATACTCAGAACATGTGAAACAGTGACTAGCCCAGATGAAGAGCTAAGAGTTCATTATTCCTGTTATTGCACCTGTATTCCCATGACTAGCGATAATTATCAAGGGCATCAACAGA